TCTCATCAAGAGACAGGGACGCCAAGGGTATCAGGATGTAGGATGGGTGAAGTGACCCTGCCACTGCGCCCTCCCCCTAGTTCCCTCCTTGGTACGTCCCGCTGCCACAACTTACCAACCATCTTGCTCCCAAGACCTTGCCACCTAGCGAGAGGGGGTACACACCCGCGACAGCTGTGAAAAACAGAAGTACCGAACCACAAACTAGGAGGATCATCGATAGATCATAGATCAAAAAATTTTCCCCGAATACGACTCGCCACCCTCCAGCTACCAAATGGGACCAGCGCTAGGGGATTCCCTGCCCACGGCGTGCCCTGTGTAACATGCCATCTTCTTTGCAAGGATAATGACTGTACTTTCTTAGTACAATTTGTTGAACGCCAAGCGTGCCACAGCTTGACCTAGCACCCTCTGTGAAAAGGTCTTGAACTGCGAATAGGATTCTGACAGGCTTATCAATCGATTCCATAAAAATTACTGTTGCAGTACTACAAGGAGCTCAAGGAGTTGCAGGATCAGTATGAGAGCGACCACCAAATTATCTGCGGTGGCAAGGCGATTGTCAAGGTTTCTGGTTGTTGATGATTATTCCACGGATTAATGTTCCATTAATTTTCATGAAGATCTCTTCTAGGAGAAGCAGGATAAAGACTGGCTTCTGGCCCGAATATCTTTCATTATGAACGTTTCTCTACTTTTTGTGAATCTTTTTGCATCAATATCAACAGGATCTCTGGCTATTGTAAAGTGAGTCATTTTCCAGCGAGGTCTTTTTTCCAAACAAAAGCCATTATACTTGCTACCATACAGAACCTGAATCTCGGTGTTGTATCGTTGGGAAGCTTTATTATGATTGGGATACCTTGCTGGAGGACTTACCATTATTTTCAGCAGAAAACTGAAAACATTCCCAGGTAGAATTTCATGAGAAGACGTGAGGGATTGAAATGAGGGTTTCTGAACTCAGCTGCCGTACTTTGGTGATATTCGACTTGCTGAGCCTTTTAGGTAGCTCATAGAAATAAATGATAATTTTCATGCTGCATTTGAATGACTTGTTTCTTTTTCGTCTCCAAAGGGTTACCCACAGGACCTAATAAACGGGCCGAGAATCTAAAAAGGAAACAGGCCAAAAGATCCGAATTGCGACAATGCAGAGAACTAGGTCACGCGTTTCCTGCCACATACGCTTCATGCTGATCGCAACCAGGACTACGTAACTTGCACACCTAAATTAAATGTGGAATTAATGTTTTCTGCCACGATTTCGGAGCTTTTGATGGTCATATTTGAACGTCCAACTACGAATTCTTCCAGGTTAAGGATACGTTGATTATTACGATGAAAGGTAAATCTCTTCCATGAGCGGGGTGGGCAGGCTTGCAGCAGTAAAAGTGTTGCACTCCCTATCCCGCTTTCAGAAATGCGCTCTAAACAGGATACGTCGCACGTAGGGAATCCTCTGCGAGGGGGGGGGCGTATTTGATCGCTGAAGGAGGTGGTCATATTTGTCTTCGGAAAGAAAGTACAGGTTGTTGACTTTTTTGGTTTTTTCTGTTGTACATACTCTACCTTACCTTCCGCCAAAACTGAGTGGAATTTTAGAAAAAAAGTTGGGAGCGGTAGCTGATTTAATTCAGCAAAATGGTGGGCATGAAGGGAAGGAGGGGTTGTATCTGGAAAAAACTTGTGAGGGAGGGGGCCGTAATTGCAAAGTTTTCCCGAACGGCAGGAACTGCTTTGGCTACCATGGAATTGATGTCATAACCTGTTGTTGTCTCCGCCCACCGGATGTATAGCGCTAGTTCCAAGTTGCGGCGAGCACGACAGAAAAAAACTTTGCTCGAGGGACTATGTGCGCAAGATTCGCTCTAACAGTATAACCCATTCCACTCAACGAGGTAGCGCGGTGACGTGCTAACTCTTTCTCTCTATTCTCTCTCTCTTACGTCAATAGTTAGGGAAGCGTGGGATGCCGCGACTTGGAACTATCCCCCCCTCCCCACCATCCGATACGCGACACATACCTTGTACGTACAAATATACTCGAAATCCCTGAGATCGGGTGGGCGTGGCAGCATAACCTGAGGTGTCTATGCTTCTGGTGAGATATTTTCATCTTGACACAATTGTTGTCGTGTCTCTGTCCAACACAGAACAAGATGACAGTTGTCCCAGACTGGAATATTCCACGAGTAACCAGTTCCGTGCCATGTTCAAAGCCACGGCCTACTCTGGCCTAAGGGATAAGGAGTGTACGTCGAACGCCATAGGGCCAGCCATATCTCTTGCTATAATCACAAGACCAAATGGGAGGTGCTGCTGCAACGTGTGGGTGCGCTGCACTTCTACTGCTGCGGACCTACCACCCTTCTGATATAGGGTATGTCTAACCATAATGAGAGTGCGATGCGTCCCGGCAACAACTGCGGGTTCACTTGCCGAATCTCCTCTCTTATGAATGTCTCTCTACTCGTCTTCCACTTATAATTAGACTCCTGTAGCGATCGCTGCTACATCACGTACTGCCCTCACATATGCGCTGTATCCATCTCTCAGGTGTAGAGGGTGTCTTTGCATTGTCAAAAAAACAACAGCTGTGACATGATCATTTCAGTACATTTGTTGATTCATGTGTAGACATCACCACCAGCCTCGTGTTAGGAGTGTGCCTGTGGCTCATACATAACACAGATTATCACAAATACCCACGCGGACGATACAGGTCAGTTACATTGAATTTCGCATAGTGTTCACATTGTATGGCCGTGCACGCCGGGTCTCAGTCAATTCAAGAAATTACCTTTCAAGCTTTCAGACTGATTATTAATCTATAGTATTGGGCTAACAGGTCAACTATCTGAACACCTGAAACTCAATATCCAAGGCGTTTCAGAAACCATAGGCCAGAACAATACTGTAGACTTCCGCCAAATTGACAAAAGAGTGGAGATTTCATATGCTCATATTTAAGGACCGAGCGAACTTTTCGGAGCCACATTATCGAGAGCTAATGATGAGCTACGGGGCCGAAGGGGTGTGATGGCGGCCATAATTACGGTCTTGTCCTTCGCGGACACTTGGGTGTTTCAGAGGGGGTGGATTTTGTGACTGTGGCAGCTGGCAGGGGACCGCAACTGATGGAGAGTAGGCTGGCGCGACGACAAACCTAGCTCCAAGCTCCGGTATCTACGGCGAACAAGACTCGCATTAGACTGCTCGCTATAGTGTTGCGTGTGAGGGGGGCTGAATTCAGCGCCGCGCTAGCTCGTTCTCCTCCAGTTGTCGAAGAGAGCAGGAGACAACACCTAGCGAAAAATGAGCTAGCGCCCCGCTAAGCCCAGGCCACCCTGGGAAGCCCCAGCGAACAATGCTGCAAAATTTGAACCTTATCCGGCAGGGTCTCTTTATTAATTTTTTAGAAAATGTTCTTCCTTTCCATAGTTCTCCAACAATTTTTTAAGGCTTGAATTGCTTGGTGTTATCCTTTGCTCTATAATACTGGTCGTCTCAAATACCTTTCTTATGTTGGAATCAGTCACAGCGATCGTCACAGGACAGGTATGAACAACTTAGAGTATTCTTGAAAATAAACTGCACGCTCACACCGAGGAAGGTCCTTCTCATGTTAGGGATGCGGCATTTTTAGCTCTATCGCTGCGTTTCAGAGGGGGGGGGATGGGTAGGGAGCTTGTTTTGAGGGACGTTTCCCATGTCTCCACACACAAGGTCATGTCTCCCACAGTTTGGAAGGATAAAATTGTAATCTACGAAAGCAACAAGATGAAAGAAATGGCTAACGCAGTGATTTGATCCCGTCGGACGCTCACTTCACCCGGATTCCCGTCTGGGCAAATATCTAATAGCACCGCTCTCATCGCCAGTGTTACCTCATTCTTCTTAACATGCTGCCGCTTTCTAAAAATTTTTTCTCCTTACTTTAATAATCAGAGAAGGCTGTGCAGAGTATTCTAGATAGCTCCTGAAATGAACGCAGTGGTCCTATCGGTTATGTTAGGTGGATCAATTCTCAAAACTGTTCTCATGATTATATGCTACAGAAGGGGATCGGCATCGTCGAAGGTGAGTCGTCACTCCTTTTGGAAAACCCATTCCGCGATAATAGAGTGGGCGGAGACTTATAACGAATGGACCTTCCCCACTGCTCCGCCCCTATTGTAGAGGAGGGCCTTTTTGTGAGAAAGCCACAATGGTTCTAAGTCTCCACCCATCTAGTTGTCGTGGAATGTTTCTTTAATACTTTTTTTGCTTCTTCCTGACATTTATAGGTGCTAGAATTTAGGTACTAGCCATGGATATGCGTAATGACCTTGCGACCACGTATGTTGCCATCATATGTGCCACCACCATCGGATCGGTCTATTTGGAAATACGCCGACCCCGTGGGAGGAATGCTCGTCTGGTTGGTATTTCCTCAGCTTCGAGCACCATCCAAGTTGCCCACAGCGTGACATCAGATTCGAAATTTTCTTGAAATCTATGCTAAAATGCGGCAAATCTCCACCTATTTCTTTGCACCTACGGAAAGCGTCGTTAGGTGGGCATGATAGCATGGAGCGACAGTTGCTACCAACGTCATTAGGGCGTTTGGGCACATCCCACTCACTCCTTCCGCCGATGACCTTGGCAGCAAACGAACGCCCACCCATCGTGCTTGCTGCCTTCGAGGTTTCGCTTAGAAGAAGCAAATTTCAGCGCAATGATCGCCGTTTCTGGTTTTCGCTAGCTCAGTAAACATATAGCACGGTTGGCGTTGGTGTACAAGTCAGAAAGGATCAACTTTCACGAGTGCTGAAAATCACCATTGATCACGATCCTCGAATACGGTAAGTAGTGCTGTTGTTGAGAAAACTGGCTTTTTGAGACGATCGGGATCAACAATTGGGCTCTTCACTTGTGTGCTGGCAATAGGACTTCTGTCGATGAGTATAATTTCTAACCACCAGCGCGTAAATCACGGTACCACTCCCCCTGAGATACCTAAGTATCAATCGACTATGGGCAGCTTCACATCCAGTGGGTTGACTCTTTCCCACCTCTGAAGGACGCGACGAAGGGATGAAAAAATAGAGTCTCCACTGTTGGCCAGTCCCTTTCTGGTAGCTGCGAACATTCTGCTTCCATTCACAATCGCACGTTTACTGAACTCGATATAACCTTCCAATGATTTGCGGGGCCATAGCGGTGTTCCCATCCCCTCAGGACGCATCTTGGCACCTATCTGCTATCTCGTAGCCTGCTGGTGCTGAGAACGCTTGGTTCGCCTGACGAGGAGCCGATGCTGCCTCGCAGGGGGGACCATCTTCCTCTACACTACACTCCCTAGCTTCTCGAATGCTCCTATCGCCCAACAAATGAGGTGGTTAACTGTTCAGTGGTGAAAATGCCTCGTTGGGACTGGACGCAGAACGATTCCCACCCCTCCCCCTCCCCCCCACTCTGATTTCCTCCTCTAATACAATCTGTCGAGCAGGGGTACATACACCTATGAGAGGGGAAAAAACCGCTAAAAGTCAACAAGCGGGAGGCGACGCGGAGAACTGAAACTAGCCCGTCTCTCCCCACAGACCAAAGACGACCTCTGTTGGGGAACTGCCAACGATGATGTGCCCTAGGCTCGGCACTGGACCGTGTTTCAAACGGGTATGTGCCAAGAGAATCGTAATTTGCTGGGTGGTGGGCGCGCGTGCGACGTCGCGCCCGCAAATGACGATGGTTCCAGGTAGTAGATGGCGACAACAGGCAATTCAGAACCGAAATAGTCATGAATGTCTACGATGACGGGGTCTACATGAAGTCCGGTGCTCCAATCGACAGTTAACACGAGTTAAGAAAACGCCGCGCCCATCGCCGCGCGCGGTGGAGCGGCAAATTACGATTCTCTTGCCCGTCTCCCGTTTCAAACTGCAGCGCCTCGTGCAATTGCCCCTCTTAGAAGCCAACGAACACGAGAAACACCTCAATGTCTCCAAATAAGGTCCCACGAGCCATGTTAGCCCACCAAATATAAACAGGCCAATAGCTAGTTCGGTGCTGATTCTCATGCAATCTTTCGTAGGTGCATCAACCACGCGATGGTATATCATACCTCAATGCAAGCTATCGTCGAATTAGACATCGTCATGGATCCGAATCTTCCCCTAAAGGTATTTTATGGTCTATAGGCATGATTTTGAAGTAATCAACAAGTCAAAATGAAGGATTCAGTTTCCGAGAGTGGGGGATTAAAAGTATTCTGTCTGAAAGAACTGGGATCTTCATGACAGGAGCGAATATTTTCTGCCTCCGCTTTGAAGTAAAAGCTCTCCAGAGTGGATCAACTGATCTGTTTGTGATGAAGGGAGTTTCCACTCTATAAGTTCTCCTCTCTTAATAGGGCCCCCGAAGAGTTCTTTGAATGCCTCTCCCAATGTGCTTCCTATATTTCCTAACCAGTAATCGTTCTTACTATTGCTTAGCGCAGTTTCTAACGCATATGAAATGAATAATTAAATAAACAAATTCACAAACAGGCGAATAAATGAAATGAATAAATAATAAATAAACAAGGGGTTTCAGATAACACGTGGCGTCTCGGACTCCCTGCGGAAAAATTTGCTGAAGCTTGGACTTCGTAGAAAGAGCGTTTGTTTATTGTGATTGCGATGATTTTGGCGATATGGATATTGTATAGGATTTTCCGGCGCTGTTCGGCTTAGGGGGCATTTTAAGCTACTTTGGCAAGGGGAATTCACAGGTCTTGAAAGGTAACCTGTGCCAACCGCACTGAATGCCATTTGGTACCCCCACCGAGCCAAACCGGCGCCGTTTTTCTTTTATGTATATATATTCTCAGATGTTCTTACACATGTGTATAATAAATAATGGAAAGCTCTTCTATTTAAGAAAATGTGCACCTTCTTATTCATTCAGTCAGTCACTGCGGAAGGACATAATAGGGCACAACGGCATGTATTGA